TCGAAAATGTCGACAGCTGTTGTTATCGAAATATCGATACTATCGAATAAAGCACCTACTCTATCATACATTCCGATCTTGTTTTTTCCTATTTCCTATATTCTTCTGATAAATAAATTTAAAAAACATAATTATATTAGTTTTAGTGCTTAAATTATTAGCAACATTTATACAGAACGTATAATTCAAAACAGCTGGTGCAATGGACAAGCTGCGTCGTGTTTTAAGTGGCGAGGACCGCACGCCGGAGGAGGAGAGCAGCATCATTACACAGGTGAAACCATATCAATTAAATTGCCATTTATTAACAAATTACACTTCACATGCGTTTTTCAATAATTGCAATTATGCATCTATCGTTGGGCCTTCTCATTGCAAACTTGGTCTTGGAAAACCGCCGCCCAAACCGATCACACGACTGATCTGTGACTCAACGCTTTATCAACTGGTTTATTTTTGTTATTTTTTTTTTGCTTTTATTGCAGATTAATGACATGTCAACCCTAAGCTGGAGCACCCGTATCAAGGCCTTCTGCGTATGTTTCGTATTGGGCATGGTGTTGTCCTTTCTGGGCTCGATCGCCCTGTTTCTGCATCGCGGCATTGTCGTCTTTGCCGTCTTCTACACAATTGGCAATCTGGTGTCTATGGCCAGGTGAGTCGACAGCTATATTTCGCATCTGCTGGCTAATTGCTAATATATACCTCCATTCGGTTGCAGCACGTGTTTCCTCATGGGTCCCATTAAGCAGATCAAGAAAATGTTTGCCGAAACGCGGCTGATCGCCACCAGCATCGTGATTGTTTCCATTGTCATGACATTCGTGTCAGCTATTGTGGTATAATATTGTTAATTTCATTTAGTTTGTTGTATCTTTATCTTTATTCTTTATTTTTTAAATTGTCTTTTGGTTTTCCTTTTTTTATATTTTTATTTTAGTTAAAAAAAGCCGGCCTCACGCTTATATTCATAATCATACAATCCCTGGCAATGACCTGGTATTCACTCTCGTATATACCGTACGCACGAGATGCGGTCAGAAACACAGTCTCGGCATGCTTTGAGGTTTAGTCTATAGTAATTTGTACAGTACGTTTCATGAATATTCTTTGAAAACATTGTAATATGTATTATTAATTATTTACTTATATAGCTCTTAAGTTTCTTACGTGGACAATTAAAAAATTGTATTAATCTAGTTTTAGAGTTTAGGTGTTTTTTCTTTTGCTTCACGTTTGCTTATTAACAAATTTTCGTTGGTTTAATATCAATTATACATACACATACACAATATAAATTTAATTTAATCAGTACAGTTTGCATAAATTGTATGTACATTTTTTTTATAGAATCGCCTTTTTTATTTTGAATGTTGTTTGGCTTTTTAAGTTTTTTTTTCTTTTGTTTTGGTTTTGCTAAAATGGCCTCATTTGAGTTTCTTCTCTTTTGCCGGCGACAAATTACCTAGAAAAATAAAAACGAAAATTTTTTAAATAATAATTTAGTAAATGAATTGAAATGCAGTTAAACTATTTTAATTTTAATTTCGTAGTGCGCTGTGCTAGGCCCATCAATGGATTTACTTCGTGGCACATGTGCTTAACACGTAGAATGCAATTCCAAAGAGAGTAAAAGAAAGTTCAAAATGAGAGTGAAGTGAGTTGTAGTTGCAGCTTTCACAAAGAGCAGAAAACCATTGAAAAATAGAAATTAACGTAACGTACAACAAAAGTGTTTTGCAGTGTTTATAAAATATAGTTTATGCCGCTAGTTTAGAATTTTGTGATAGATATACCTTTAGATGGGGAGTTTTGCGCACTGTCTCCTTGTTTTTTACTCAGGGCTGGAATCGATGAAACCTTTTTCAGTTGACGTTGCTGTTGAAAGTACAATTATTGCTATACATATATAATGCTCGAAAAGTGGGCGGCCCTTTTGGTTGCACTTACCTGCCACCAGACAGCTACGTAGACGAATGACACCGATATTAGCACCTGCACGGTCAGCCAGAGCACAATGTTGATGGCTTGCGTGCGCTCAAACAACTCCTTGCCATTCTTAATGCAGAGAATGGCCTCGGAGACCATAATAGCGCCGTAAACCCAACACTGGGTTCCGACACGTTTGCAGCGCGTGTCGGTGACGTATACATAATATTGCCTTAAATATAAAATATAATTGAATAGAATAAACGAACAGTTCAATGATTTGACATCACGTACCTAACAGAGGGCGCCACAAAAAGTCCTATAAATATTAAACGTCCAATAACAATAAAATGATCGGGCGGCATCTCGAAAATGTGCTTCAAGAAGAACGTGTTCAGTTCGGTAACCTGCCAAAATATGACCAACTGGATAACAGCAGCAAAACGCATTGCTGTCGACTTGGGATCCAGCCAGCGTATGGCGGACCAGCTCTCTGGTGTAAACTGCAGCATGGCACGCTTGATTTTTCCTGTGGTTGTTGATATATCCTTAATGCTGGCCCATTTGTATTCGCGCATCTCGAGTATTTGGCATATCTTGAGGCCGACCCAAATGCCAAGGCCATTGCAAATGATAACATCCAAGATGAGCGCATCCCACCAGCATTCAATAAAGTTGGGCAATAGATGGGCAAAGGTGATCTCGGTTATTTCCCACATCACCGAGATGGCCCAGAGAATGCCCATGTGCCGAATGAGTATGGCCTTGAAGGCCCAGCCTAGAAAGTGTCCCCAAGCGAATACATCCAAATGACCCTTAACCCGTTCCCAGCTAATGTCCGAGCAATTGACGCCGTATTCCTGCCGAAACAAATTGATTATTAATCTATTAAGGTTGATGTATTTTTTGTTTTAAGATATGATTCTACGTACCTTCTCCATATCTATGTGAAAGTTCTTTAACTTTGGGTCCAGCCAATAGAATATATTTCGTATTGTCGAATAGTTTTGGAACATGAGAAATTGCAGCATAAGTAAATACAGAACAGAACAGCCAAATAGGATGCGCCATATTGCTGGATGTGGTCGTGTGAATGGCCCATTTGGAAATGCGATTACCGAAATAATCAGAAAGAAGAAAACAATGCATAACAGTCCCGACCAAAGATTATCATCTATGTTAGCCTCGTTCCTGGGAATGTAATTAAATTATGTAGTAAATATAATGATTTTTAGTTTTCGTTATATTCTCCGATTTGCTTCTCTAATCAGCGCCGGACTTTGAACCGGCCTGTGCCCAGAGTTAAGTGACCTTTTTTGTATGAAATCGAAATGATTGTGTATTGTTGATAAAAAAAAAAAAAAAAACGAGATTTGTTTCAGAACCATGAGGAGGCTCTTCAATAACCCTGTCGACACATTTGGCAACGCGATCTCCAACGTGTTCATCTGTGCTCTATTCTAAACTAGAGATGATCGTGATGGCACGACGTGATTTTGAATAGCACGAAATGTAAGCGATAAGAACTATTGCAAGGGGCAAACTTATACAATTTGACAAAATATCTCACATGTGGTAGAAATTTACAAAAATGGGTTATAAATTCGACTTTTTTCTCCTGTACTCTCTACTTTATTCCTTGCTATTGTTGTCATTTGTACATGAATTTTTATTGATTGTTTGAATTTTAAATGTAGAAAACAAATACATTCAATTTGGAAATATATTATTTACATTGGGATACGTGCGCTTCCCATCAATATATGGAACTGTTACTGTTTTACATAAATAATTGGTAGAAAAAAATTGCTTGGTAAAGCATCTGTAGATGCGAAACTAGAGATTTCATTGAATTATATTCAATTGATATTAGAATGACAACGAAAAATTGTTAGCATTATCGTGCTTAGAATTCACGTGCTCACGCGCCCATCCCTATATGCTAACAATGACAATTTTGCTTTCTCAATTTCGAAGTGCTTAAAAAGTCAACCAAGGTTGACGGGCACATGTCGCCGAGACGCAACAATTGCTATTTGACGGTCAGTTGGCCAAGTTAATGTTGATGTGGATGTGGATGCCTAGCGGTCAGCTTAACCCAAAATAGAAAGATCGATAAATGTGCGCGACTGGCGCACTAATCTCCAAGTGCTGCACCTGCTTACCTGACAAAGGCGAAATACATGACCGCCAGCACGGAGACGGCCAGAAGGGTGATGGTGTGCGGCTTGTAGAAGAAATCCAAGGAAATGTCATCCACCGGTCGCTCGTTGACAATGACAAAAGTTTGCGCGATTTCTTCTTTGCGCCTTTTTCCATTATCGTTGCGTTTGATTGGCGTGGCCGGCGCACTGGCCGCACCGGATATGTACTTTGTGGATGCGGTGCTCTGGTCGCCACCGGAACTGGCATGCTCCTGTTGTTCCCCATCGCCGGCGGTCGGTGTGCCACGTGAATTTGAGCGTTTCTTCATGTCTGTGCAGCACGAAATACAATTATCAGTGTAAGTCAGCGTCTTTGTTGATGGCGTGATTGTGCTGATAATGTTGTTATGTTAGCATGCGGGCAGAGCAAAGGGTTGCGCAACATTCGCTCCACGGTTAATGAGATTCTCCGCTGTTCAAGACGCCGATTTTGTAGCTTTTTGCTAGCCGGCAGCGGCGCTTATTGTGTATAACAGTTGTTTACTTCAGTTGATCAATGTTTTATCTTATGATTTCGGCATCAATGTTTGCACTGTTGTTAATTAATAAGCATGCTGCGCGGCCGCGTGAAGAGCGGAGAGAGCAAAGGAACCTGCTAATCTGACACTTGCCGGGCAGCAACTACATTTGCTTCGATTTGTTGTGACGGGACAGCGTTGCCGTATGTTGCAGCGTTGCCAGACTGTTTGCTTAGCATAGCCAAGTATGCTGTTCACCAAATATAAGCAAATCGAATTCGATAATAAACTAAATAAATGTATCTATGCATACTATAATACATGAAATACATTTATAAAGTTAATATTAATATATTTGGTATATATTTCAGTTTTCAGATATGCATTTGCGATTCGTGACTAAAGCGCGGGAAAATCGTCTGCACAACCCTGTGCAACAGCTGATCCACTTGTTGGTTGCTGCTAAATTCGCATTAATAATTTTATTTAACGCTAATAAATAATGCTGGACAAAGTTAAAAACGTAATCGTAGTGCTCTCGGGCAAGGGTGGCGTGGGCAAATCAACAGTCAGCACGCAGCTTGCATTAGCATTGCGCGCAACGGGTCATAAGGTAAGTTGCACACTCATGCAAGTTGCAAGTCATGTGTATGAAGAATTTATGCCTCTTATTGGTAGGTGGGTTTGCTGGATATTGATTTGTGTGGCCCCAGCGTGCCGTATTTGCTTGGCCTTGAAGGCAGCGATATTTATCAATGCGAGGACGGCTGGGTTCCCATTTATACGGATGAGAGCAAAACTCTGGCCGTCATGTCCATTGGGTTTCTACTCAAGAATCGAAACGATCCGGTCATTTGGCGTGGACCCAAGAAAACCATGATGATACGACAGTTCCTTACCGATGTCAAATGGGAGGACATGGACTATTTAATCATTGATACACCGCCTGGCACCTCGGATGAGCACATTACTGTTATGGAGTGCATGCGCGAGGTGCCCTGCAATGGTGCAATTATTGTGACAACGCCGCAAGGCGTCGCATTGGATGATGTTCGCAAGGAGATCACATTTTGCAAAAAGACCGGCATCAAGCTGCTGGGCATTGTGGAGAATATGAGCGGGTTGGTAGAAAAAAAAGAAACAAACAAGACAATAGCTATGCAGGCGCATGAAAGCCTTAAGTGTGATTAATTGTATTCTGTTAGTGCAATTAATACAGCATAAAGTTCAACAGACTGGCCACTATTTACGACAATTAAGTCCTATTGATTTAGTTTCTAATATATTTTCTATATTTTTTTTTTAGATTTGTTTGTCCGCACTGCACTGAGTGCACCAACATATTCTCCTCGAATGGCGGCGCAGAGCTGGCGCGTTTGGCTCAAGTGCCACATTTGGGCACCTTGCCCATCGATCCACGTGTAGGCGTTTTATCTGGGAGCACTGCATCGGTTTTAAATGAGCTGCCCGATTCAAGCACTGCACAAATAATGCGCAATATTGTCCAACATTTGGATGCGCTGACGGCAGTGCCAACGCCCGCCCAGGTGTAAGTACCCGTCACCCACATTCCCCGTTTGTAGTCAGACGCATTTTATTCAGTTCGTTATATTTTATTCGTTATCTATATATTGCAATTATCCAAACGAGAGAACGCTACTAACAAGACCTTTGGTATATCATTTTTTTTTTTTTTTTTTTTTTTTTTTTGTTGTTTTTCTTTTTTTTGTTGAAGTATGCAATTGAAATCAAAAATGGGCTTAAAAGGAATGTGTAATCAGTGCAGCGCATTTCCTTTAATTTCTTTTCTGTTTTTTTCAACAATTATTTAGCGCGTTTTTGTGGATGTGGGTGTTTTCTTACTTCTAAGCTGGCCAATTTGTGCAGATCTCGCACTTTATAGTTAATATAATTTGTCAGGCAACAGTTGATAAATAAACATGTTTAGTCTTCTATAAAATAATGCTAAGCCCAAACAGGGCAGTACGATTGTTTATAAATTTGTTGAAGTTTTCTAGAAAGTTAAATTTATGCCAGACTACCGCCCTGGATGAACTCAACTTAATACTATATTGTATTACTTAATTAGATGATTTTACTCTGGATGATATCAATAATTTGCCATATTATCACAATGCATAACTAAATTAATAAATAAATATAATAATTTTTGTGTGTAGTTCGTTTTTGTTTAAAGTTTATGAAATTATTGCAAAATCGCTGATTCTGCGCGAGCATTGTCTTTAGGCGAGAGTCATCGATGAAATTTTCCAATATATACGATATACCATATACTAATATATATATATATATATATGTATATGTATATGTATATGTATACTTTTATTTATGTGTTTCCTTTTTGTGAAATCGATTATTCCGCTGTCTCTTTAAGCTGCTTCTGTTTCTCTATGTTGTGCTGCAAGGGCTGATCAATGCGTAGAACCAGATCAGAGGTAGTTGTATTCTCGCTTAGATTTGAATCTGAATTCGGTACCGAAGAATATAGCGATTTACGTTCCTTGCACTTTTTAACACAATAATATATGAACAGGACTAAAACTAGAAAAACCGCAAAGGCGCCAATACTCAGAATCCAAACATATTTTGACATATTTGTTGAATATAAGGCATCATTGTGATTCTCAAGTGCGAAACGATAATCGGCATCATCGATGGTTGAGCCGTGATGCCAGCTGGTCGATTCGGGTGTCAGCGCGTTCGGTGCCGATGTCGCCAACGAACTTGGATGCTGTGTGGTTGAGATCCCAGCGCTGCTGCTGCTGCTGCTGCTCGATCCAGTGCTGTCTAGGTCTGATAGTGTGGTATATTCCAGGCTGTCATCTCTACGCTCCGGTTCCACTACCTCAGTTGCTTCGGTTGTCTCCTCAATACTTTCCAGCTCTTGAGAATTGGTTGTGTCATCTGTAAGCCAATCTTTTGTTTCGAACGCGGACTCAGCAATGAGAGATGGCTCCGTTGAAAAATCATTCCATGCCGAGATGTGTTCGTTCGCACCTTCATTGTTGTCTACACCAAATCGCTTTATGAAATATTCATCCAATTCGTCTGTGGTGCTGCTGGAGGTGCTGTCGGAGATGCTGTCGGAGGTGCTGCTGGGTGTGGTGCTGGAGGTGGTGCTGGCGGTGGTGCTGGGGCTGCTGCTGGGGGTGCTGCTGGGGGTGCTGCTGGGGGTGCTGCTGGGGGTGCTGCTGGGGGTGCTGCTGGGCGTGCTGCTGGGCGTGCTGCTGGAGGTGGTGCTGGAGGTGGTGCTGGAGGTGGTGCTGGAGGTGGTGCTGGAGGTGGTGCTGGGGGTGCTGCTGCTGCTCGATATAGTTGTGCTTGAGAGCTCTGCGAAAACTTGATCATGATCCAATGTCTTCTCGGTAGTCATGCTCTTTACATTAATAGGCGTTTGTTTATTTATATCCTCTGCCGGCTTAAAGGGCTCTGTTGAGTTTTCGATGGATTCGCTTGAGATCTGAGCAGTTGATTTGATTGTTGAGCTGCTCGGCACAATGGCCGCTTCGGTGGTAACACTTTCCGCATTTAGACAAACGGGACAGCATACGCCAGGCACTTTTATGTAGTTTTCGCATTCCGGCTGTTTGCAGGAGTACGTTTCGCACTCATTAATGCCGTTCTTGCAGGTGCAGTGCTCGCAGCCATCTCCCTGTGACCACTGCTCCCCGTTCATCACGATCTGTTCATCATCAGTGAGACAGTTGCTCAGTGCACTGTCCGACTGGCAGACTAACTGGCACAGCGGTTGGCAGCTGTTGCATTTGGTGCACTCATCCCGCCAATAGGTGATGCCCATTCCCCGCACACATTTCGGCTCCATGCCGCACTCGTATTCGGTGCAGCAGCTGCCTGGCTTGCCATTGCCTTGGCTCAGTTCGTTTAGCACTTGACCCGATTTACATTTGGGCTTCTCCAGGCATTTGTTGCAGCTGCAATAGCTCTTGGCACAGCATAGCTCCAGCAAATCGGGCTGGATTATGGACACCGGCTTAAATTCCGTGCTACTATCATCGGGGCACTGAGGCGAATCTGTTTTTTCCGGGCATACAAACGCCGAGCACTTCTTGTCAATTTCTGCAATTAAAGAGATCGCAAAAGCCCAATTAACACCTATGTGATATATATATATATATATATATATAGATAATTTGTACACGATTTAATTGGGTTTTAACTCATTCAATGGCTGCAGACGCATGTGATTGGAATGTGGCATGAGTTCCATGTGAACCGAATGTTGCCCACAATTGGCCAAGGTTAGTAACTGACCTTTTGCTGATAAAAAAAAAATGTTGTTAAGGGTGTTATCTAGTTCGATTAGTCGTCTGGTCGGGTATGTGAGGTGTTAATGGCATGTGGATCATATGTTGAACGAAACTTATTGATAAAAAAAAAAGTGCTGCTCAGCCTGATAATGCCAAAAAGTATTGCACATGGTTCGAATGTGGATCGTAAATGTGTAAATATGTTACTCGGCCAATGAGTCATATAAATGGGCATAGTTTTTATTTTATTCAAGTTTTCTCAGCAAAAATATAATGGAAAGTCTATGTAAACTAGTCTCTCGGTTATATCAGGATAGTCCGGTTGAAACAAATATCATATACTTAGTTCACGTAGTTTGGAATTTAAGTTCGTTTTTAAAACTGTTTTTTGTTTCTCAATATATGTTGATTAATCCTGACATTTCGAAGTTTTACTCATCTGCTTCGGATTATTGGCTCACAGAATGAGTTTTTATATGGAAAACTTGTTTGTTTCGTTATATTATTATTCTAACATTATTTTTCTAAAACATTCGCATACCAAATCAAATCGTTCTACTGTATTATATAAAAATTTTACGGAAATGGGCACTTCTCAGCCAAACTTCAACAAGTGTATTTAATCTTCGTCATGTCAAATAGCCGTTCTTTCTTGTTTAATGTTAAATTAGCCTTTATTATAAAATATATAAATAAAATACATATAATATATATCAAAGTCTATATACCACGTATTTAGCCTGAGTTCGTGTCTGTGATGGGGTTTTTTTTTTTTGCAAGTATGTATAAGTTTTGGACTTTTACTTGGATAATACGAAAATTGTTTACTCAGTCCTTATCGGCTGCTACACTATATATATATATATATGAATATATATGGGTGCAGATGTGTGTATATGCGGAATATCATCTAGGCTGATTGTATTTAATATGACGCCGCATATTTCAATAGAGTTTTAGGTAAATTTATAAAAATTGCAATTTGATTAGCAATAGATTGTGGACAGTTGAGGAGGCCCGGAGACGTATAGCGAGTGTCAGGGACAGCCCCTAAAATACAATATTTTTTTTTTTTTTTTTTTTGGATACAAAGTACAGTGTCACACTCTCGTTTATCGTTTATTTATTGTTATTGATTTTTGACATTTTATCATTGAATTAGTAAATGGCGGGTGAAAGGGGGGCAGCGGCGGGAGAAATGTGAATGGCAGTCAACAAGCAAAAGCAAGGGAAACATTATATTTTGTATTTGATTTTTTGTTGTTGTTGTTGTTGTTTGGGCAAGAATTTCTTTGCACCAAACGATCGATTGATCGATCCAACGATCCAACGACCGATATCGCGATCTCTTTTCATTGAATCAATAATTTTCAATATGCCATATCACGTTTCTTTGCAGTTTTATTGTTCTTATAACTATTATTATTATTATTATTATTATTATTGTAGTTCTATTGTGCGCTGCCCTTTACAAAATGCGACGCAATTGATAACAAACTTTCCTAAATATTATCGAGGCTATTGATTTGTTTATTTTTTTCCATTGTTTTTGTTTTCTTTATGAAACCATAACACAAATTGACGTCATATAACCGCATATAGGTGAAGCGCAGCGCAGTCAATTGAACATAATTTAAAATAGATATAAGTTACGCTATCAGAGAAGTCGGATCTATATCAGAGCAAACAAACACACACACACGCACGCACAGAGGGGGTTGACAATTGTCTTGGTATTTGTGTACGAAGCGCGTAGAAGGGCGCACATAAGTCACGACACTGCGTGATCTGAGATGAGATCTAAGTGGAATACTAGGGCAATTACAATGCTTCGCTACGATGATATTTGAGTTGGACAATCTGCAGAGCGTACAAATTTCATTCTGAAACGAATTGCGCTGGAAAAGCGTTATACAATGTCCATTTTTTGTAAGCTCAGCATTAAAAACATTGGGTGTGCTTTCTTTTATTTATGTTTTTTTTCTTATAATTTTTTCTTTCCTTTGTATCGTACTATTATTTTCATTTTGCTGGGTTTATTGACCCGATTGGTCAGCAGAAATATGCCAAGATACGCAGTTAAACCAGTTAAATAAAAGCAAATACACCGTCGACACGTTCAAAGGTCTTACATTCAATGCAAATTAACTAGGCACATATCCGTCTTCACAAGTGGGTCGACTCTCTCATTAGCAAACGCGATGCGGGAGGTGGCATCCGCGATAACGAATCTGCGAAATGTACGAATACCAGAAGTGCTAATTACGTCACTTTTTTTTTTCTTCATGCATACCCTGTTCCATTGAAGAAGCATCAAATGGGTAGATGGGCAAGTGCATGGAGTACAACGAATGATAAATTGTAGACCCTAACAGTTATAGGAAATGCTTTAAGGGAGATGCGAACTTAGGAAGATGCGAACTTTTCGAGTTTAATAACAGTCAAAGTTTAAAGAATTTCTTAAAGCAGATATTTTCGAAAAGTTCTCACTTACTTTTTAAACACAATAAGGATTTCTTTTAGCAGATAAATTCAAAAAGTTCCCATCATCTTTTCGATCATAAGACCGACTACAATTAAAGGATTTCTTATACATAGAGCTGAGTTTTGGATGAATAAATGCTCGTTTAAATACTAGACAATATATAGCTAAATACCATTTGGAATTTACTTA